AGCGGAGAGGAGAGGAGAGGGGGGGAGAGGAGAGGAGCGGAGCGGACAGGAGAGGAGAGGAGAGGAGAGGAGAGGAGAGGAGAGGAGAGGAGAGGAGAGGAGAGGAGAGGAAAGGAGAGGGGGGGAGTTAAGATTGCCTGTAGGAAGAATTCATCTGAGACTCGCATGAGCCATTTCTTGCCGATGATGAATGGCTTGATGACCTACAAGAAACGTGAGTCCTCCTCTCTTCTCCTCCTCTCTTCTCCTCCTCTCTTCTTCCTCTTCCTCTTCCTCCTCCTCCTTCTCCTGCACCTCCTACTCCTCGATTGTGTTTCTTCAACTCACATTCGACGTATCCGCACACTTGATGAGCAGCTCAAGCTTGGTGATGGTCGTGAGCCCCTGACCCTCGTCCTGCTGGACAATGAGGAGTAGAGCGAAGGAGGAGGAGAAGAGATGAGGAGGAGGCAATACTTGGGACGGGAGGAGAAGTGGGGGAAGGAGGAGCAGGAGCAGGAGCAGGAGCGGGAGCGGGAGCGGGAGCGGGAGGAGCAGGAGGAGTTGTGTTTATTGATAGGCTTCTCACCATTGTTGATCGGCTTCTCATCATCGTAAGATACTCGGCATGACGCGCCATGTCTGCGATGAACAAGAAATTCATGGGAAAGAAGAGAAGGAGGAGAGAAGAAGAGGAGCAGACAAGTTGATCACCAGTCGACATGATGAGAGATGTTATGACATCTTTGATGTACTCCTGTCGTACCGTGAACCATTTCAAACAATTACACCCAAAAGATACAGGGAGAAAGGAGGGAAACGAGGAGAAGAATTGTTGGTGAGCAGGAAGAGAGGAGGAGGAGGAAGGGGAGTGATTGCTGTTCGTCACCTGATCGCTGGGGGTGAGGGAAGTGAAAAGTTGAACGTCACTCCTTTCAGCAATCCACAAGCCCCTGGGAAGAATCAGGAGAGGAGAGGAGAGGAGAGGAGAGGAGAGGAGAGGAGAGGAGAGGAGAGGAGAGGAGATGCAGTGAAGGAGCAGAATGAAGAGGAAGAAGGAGAGACAACAAAACGAGGGAAGAGGAGGAGTGGGAGGGAGCGGCGGGGGAGTAGGAGAAGAGGTAAAGAGGGCAGGAAGTGGAAGGGGTGACAGGCATCTGAC